ATGTTCTTGCTGCTTTTTCCAGCACAACTCCAACGCAGGACAAGGCAATTTACTTTGTCACATATGGGCATCATTCACACCACCGACTTGCAGCGAGAACGCAGTGGTGTGCGAATGTGAGAGTGCCAATATGCTATCACATGGGGGCTTGTAAGCCCCCTATGTGATAGTATTAAAGTAAAGTAAGAAATAAAAAACAGTTTCAAAAAATATTAAATAAATGTAAATATAATAAAAAACAATTTTGAAGTCCCCCGCCCTTGCACGTCTTCACGTAAACACGCGCGGGTTTGCCTATATATGAAAACGACAATAGCACTACACATGTTGGGTATCTCCCAGTGTGAACGAGAGCAATAATTCTAGGGCCAATATTTGTGTGCTTCCCTAAACTGATGACCTGTAGGGCCTATTAAACGATCATCTATGGACTTTTTGGGGTACTGAATTTTGTTGGTTTCACGGACGCACACAATTTTTAACCTGTGCTTGTTGGGGAACTATTTACTTGCTCTAACCTCATCTTATATATATATATATTTTTTTAAATGGGCATTATATTGTGTTTTCAGGCATTAAATTTGATCTAAGTACATTTTTCACAAAATTTGGGGATTTGATAATAAGCTGCACTAATATCGTGCAAAAGAACTTTGCAACTGCCACCATTTTATTCTACAGGGTCTTGGCTTTGAGAAAATATATAATGTTTGAGGGTTTTAAGTAATTTTGAGGGCTAAAATGTAAATTATATCGTGTGCAAAAAAAGGCCTTGGTCCTTAAGGGGTTAATCAAGAGCAGTCTTCTTTTCCCAGCATGATACTGAGCAATAAATTCATGGCTGGAGCCAGTATACCCCCTGGAATACCAGACAGTAAAAAAAAAAAACCAACAGGTTGCTTCTTCTCCTGACCTCCACCAAAACCTAGACATTGATTAGGAATGGGCATTGCCCTTAAAAGAAATGAAATAAATATATAACATAACAGCTATTGATGACCTCCTCCTGAAAATGCTAATTATTCTCCTTGGAAGCCTACTACTGAAAGGAAAATTGTAAGTCTTGATACATATGTTGTGCTAGCACAAATGAAGTGACAGAGCGGAGGAACGAAATAGGCCATAACTGAGAGCGTCTGTGTAAATAGTAAAGGGTGGAAGGTCCTGACCATAGAAGATTTTCACCATAGAACTTGGAATGTCACTCAGGGAACAGCTGCCAACTGAAGAGCTTCAGCTGTCCTCAAATGAATCTGACAAGTAAGAATTTACACAAAATGCACCCCCTGAGCTATTTTA